ATTATGAAAAGCAACAGCCCAGATTTACGTGAGTGCCAGCAAAACCAAGTGGCTTTTCACAGCCTTTCCAAAGATTTGCAAAGAATGGTCCTGACAATTTCTGTTGGAAGTCAATTCCATAAGTGCAAATCCACCAATGAAAAGGTCCTATTCCTTGTATTCAAGAGCCTAAGTGTCCTTGCTAGTGGGCCTCTACTAGGTTGACAGAGGAGAAAGCATTCCTTGAAGTAACTTGGGACCAAACAGATTAAGGTTTTAAAAGGTTAAATGCAGCACTCAGAAATATATTGGCAATCAGTGCAACCACAATATTCGTACTGCATCTGTCCATCTCCAACCCATACCTCAGTGGATTAGACAGAGAGACAAAAATTTAGATACACTGTCCGACTATGCAACAAGGTATATCACTATGGTGTTGCCTTGAATAGATGCAAGTCTGGCATCTGACCAAAGAATATTAATGTTAATTAACAGCTATAAAAAGTTCTTCAAATGGTTAATTCATCTAAAGGTGGAGTCTGAAAGAGATTCTTGGGAAGAAAGTTTGAGGAACGCAGCAGAAGCAGGGAGACAGAGACAGAAGGAAACTCAGAGCACCTTGAGGTCCAGGATGCATGATATGAGCTGGCTAGAGAATCTGTTACCTGGTAGGGTTCATGATGTTTGTCTCTGCTTTTGGTCTCCCTGTACATATGAAAATGAAACAAATATTACAGACATCATTGATCTCCAGTGCTTTCGTCAATAGAAATTAAATCAAGTACTGTCCCCAGTGTAAGTGGAAGACATAGCCTCATGAGGAAAACTAGGCATGTCTGTCTAATGTAAATAACAAATAAAACAGTCTCACTGAGCAACTGATATCATAGCCTGGATGGAGGTATTACTAGATTCAGTGGAAGAGCCAAAGGCAATAAAATTGGCAATAGCAAGAGGTTTAGAGTGCCAGTGATTTAAGATCTTCATTTGACTCTTCTCCAGGAGCCATTCCCTGAAGAAGCAAGGGGGGTATTGGCCAGGAGAGGAGCCTTTTCAGTGGCTGCACCCTATCTTTGGAACATGCTCCTCTGCAAGGTATGCCTGGCACTGTCCTTGGTGTCCTTTTGGCACCAGGCTAAGCCCTTCCTATTTAAGACATATTTTTAATGGATAGCTATTTAACTGTGTTATTAAGATCTCCTTTATGCTAGTTATTTTCATATTTATTTATATTGTTGTTACTTTATCATATATTGGTACCGATTATTGTATTGGTTTTTGTCATGATGCTTTACTCTTTTAAATCATTTTTATTTATTTTAAATGGTTTTATTTGCTATAATTGTAAACCACCCAGAGAACCCTATGGGCTAATGTGGTGGCACAGAAATTATTACATAATAAATAAATAAATAAGTGCCTTTTTGTGTGGGGGTGTGTGTCTTGAATAGATGAAATAAGGCTAAAGCAAAAATGCTTAAGGGGTGGAAAGTGAATCCCCAAAGACTGTGCTTAGATCTGGGCAACTCAATCATTATGCTGATGGCTTGGGTATTAAACATGAAGTAGATGGCATAAAACGTACAGGAATATTAGATATAAAACAAGCTTGAGTGTAATTTGATCCAATATATTTGTTATTCTTGGAAAAAACAACAAAGGCACAAGTTGGTTAGTTTTGTTGTTCTCAAATGGAAACATTAGCTCATTAAAAGCAGCATCTGTTAGAAAGCAGGGGCAGTTAAGACAGAAAAATTGGCATAAAGATGAAACATAAGATTTCAGAAGTGGATATTGTGGATCAATTTATAATAGGTCTGGATTTTATTCTTGTTCATGGCTGTGTTATCAATGCTAAAAGGGAATTCTGCAGGTGAAATCTTTCAAGGTGCCTCTCAAATATCTGGCCCAAACCCAGCAGGTTTTCTACAGGCGCCTGAATGGTGAGGAGAATGTTGTTTTGCCTCCTCAAGCGGAAGCCATAATTATGACAGAATGTTCTAGACACTTCCCCACAAAGCAGAGCTTTGGGGGTGGTTAAGATGTGCCCAGGCATGAAGAAGTGAGAAGGAATTGCAGGTAAAACTTTTGTGGACTTGGGACAGACAACCCAGGATGCTATTAAATGCTTCTAACAATTCCTCGACAATAGAAAAGAGGCTAGTGGTGGCAAAGTGTGAGCCTGTCCCACTGATGAAAGCTGGTACAGAAACCTATTCTTGAGTTTGTCTCTGAGCTATACTAGCACAGTGCAGTATTTTTAAAGGAAGAAGCAGCAAAAACTCCTGAAGTGCATTCTGATATATAAACAGGCTTTACTGCCTAAATCTGAACACTAACAGAGTACACTGCATCGATAAGGGCCAAAATGAATGTGGGGGAAAGCCACCCAGTTAAACGAGTGGCCCAAAGAAAGAGACTTGGCAAGCAATACATGAAATCCAGCAGGGAATACCTGAATGTTCTACCCTACCTTGGGCTTCCTGCTTAAGGAAAAGTATGCTGGTACTACATTTTGTGTATAGAAAATTAAACCAAGTCTTCTTCTTCATCATCATCATCAATTTAATTTTGGGAAGTTTATAACATTTTGGGCAGTTTATAACAATCCATAAAGACAGCCAACAAAAGATCCAAATTTTACCTTTAAAAAGCTCACTCTTCAGAATTTTCCCCTGCCCTCCAGCCATGTGTGTATGTACACACACACACACATACTTCCATGCCTCTGATGAATAGGGCTGCTGTCCACGAAAGCTAGTACCACAGGACATTTTGCACATTCACCACTCTGGAAAATGTATTGAATAGATTAGGCCTTAAATATTGTAAGATGATCAATAGGAGTGAGCCTCTAAAGCCAGTATTGGAAGGTACAAGCAGATCAAAATAAAAGAAAAAAGCATTACATCTTTTGAGGCTGTTATTCTAAACAGAGTTTCTGAATACACTTGGAATTGTTTAGCACTACTAGTTTGGGAACCAAACTTGGGAACTTGTACAAAAATCATCTTTTAGAGTATTTTTCTTCAACTAGTATGCCAAGACCCACAAATCCATTCCACCCCAAAAGACATGATGGTATCAGTTCGGGTTTTGCCCAGGTTTCTTAAAGGGCAAAAAAAAAAAAAAAA